ACGTCTGGTGAACGCTCTTAACGCCAGTCAGGCTCGTACAATAATTTATCTTGATATCATCAATATATATATATATATATATTTATATCGACGCCTGTAGCCGTTCAATCATCCCAAGTGGGGAAACTCTCCTGATCAATGAACAGCGACGATTGGCCAGAAGTGACTGGCCTCTGGCTCGGTGTACCACCGAAGTTCGTGCTGCCAACACAGGCTGCCCAAATGCATCAAGCTGCTGGCTCTCGTAGATACTACGATCGGTTGTCGTGTAAGACGGATGCATCTGCTGTTGCTGTTGTTGCTGTTTTTGCATATCTGTTACTGTCAGCTCGATATTCCCGGCTGAAACAGTCTCTTCCAAGTTCTCTGAAGCGTTTCCTTCTTCCAGAGTGCTGTGCTTGATACCGTAATAGAAGTACATGATGAAACCTACGATCGAATGTATTAGATTAGATTGATTTTATCGATCGAAAGTAAAAATTGTTCAATTTGAAAGAGAAAGAGGTATCAATAATCATTGGTATTTAATAGAGTTAATGAACGATCATATTTTTGAAAATAATAATCACGATGCAGTGAGTATATTTTACCGAGAATCATCCAGATAGTGAATCTGACGAGAGTTAGGATGCTCAGCTTGAAGATGAGGTATATATTCACGGTGACGGCAATCGCAGGTACGAATGGCAAACCTGGTGTCATGAACATCACACTGTTCCTGAAACAGACAATTAAAAATAAACAAGTGGATAAAGTTGCAAGAAAAGAGATATCATCAATAATTTATTGTCTTTTAAATTTACCTATTTTGCGGCTTTCTACTAATGGCAAGCAATATCCCAATTATGGCAAAGAGAAAAGCGAACATTAACAATGTAGTAAATGTCCCCATATGTCCTAAAGTGAAAAATATTCGATATTATTACATTATTGATATTTCATTCGAAAGAGGGAGAGAAAGAGGGAGAGAGAGAAATAAAAGATGAAACATATCTATTCCTTTACAACTTACCCATGCCGCAAACTACGATTAAGTCGAAGATGACGATTAACAAGTATAGTATTCCGACTAATTTCATGACATAACGACCCGATGCCTCCGTTGCTGGGCCTCTGTCCACCCAAGGGAAGATGGCGGGACAAAGATACTGTGCCGCCTAAAATAGAAAAGAGAATTCAATGCTGATTAGTAAAAGAAGAAAAAAATACTGTGGTAATTTAATTAAACACAACTATTAAACCTGTAATCGACGTTGAAGATAATTCAAAGGTGGCCCTATTATTGGTGTAGTTCCTGGATATTGATGTGTACTGCCACAACTAGATGCAGCTGCAGCTGCATGTACACTACCATAGAATTTATTCTCAGTTCTGTCACTGACCAAATATTGATCATCTTTACCCAGACCAACTTCATCCTCCTCCGCGCCATATGTGTCATCAGAGTCTGGTGAAGAGCTGTTGCACCTTCTTACTCGTCTTACCTGAAATGAGTACCATGTTATTTTTAATATTATTTAAATTATTCAATAATTTCATTATTGTTGTTAAATTGTTGAACAGTATCTTACCATGATACGTTGGCCACTGTTTGCTGCAGCAAGATCAGATTGTGCAGCCTGGACAGAATTTAGAGCAGTAGTCAGTTGATCGGGTCTCAGCTCCTTCCCATAATTTACCTGGCCATTTCCTTGATTCTCCTTTGTTGGTGATCGACATGGTGTTCTTAAACTTTGCGGTAACAATTCTACTAGATTGGTAGAATGGGGCTGATAACGCAGAATCAATACACAAGTAGACACCAGAGTATAAGCCAGCAGGGTACCTAAAAGTCCAACGTGAAAATTATATTGTCTAAAATTAACGAGAAGAAGGATTGATTTTTTAAAAAATTACCAATAGACATCATCTCTACCAACACCTCTAATTGAATGAGCAATGCAGCCATGGCTGCACACACACCAGAAGTCAATGTTGCTATGGCTGGTGTACCTGTTATGGGCCATACTTGGCTCAGACTCCTAAATAATCATGCAGGAAATTCATTCGTTACTAAATTGATAATAATTCTTAACAATATATATATATATATATATATGAAGGCAAATTGAATTAGAATTTTGAAATTAATTCAAAAAAGTAATTAAAAAAAAAAGAAAATTACTTGAATATAAGACCATCTTGAGCCATGGCATAGACTATCCTAGGCATGGGAAACATGCTACCAAACATAGAGACTGTCAATCCAGCCAATGCACCAACTGCCACAATATACTTGCACTTGTAAGCTCCAACTTGACCAAACATTTCCACCAGTGCTGAATCTTGATCCACTTCATCATATGGGACTGAAAGGAAGAGAATTTTATTCGTTATCTTTCTGTTTTTACAATAAACTTTTCGATTGTCCTTGAAAGATTGAATGGATTGATTATGTAAAAGTTCATTATTTAAAAACATAAAGAGCCATGTCGACAAGGGTAAGGGAAAAATCACGCGGAAGGGTGATCAAAGATGCATGAAGGGAGGTGAAGGATGGCCAAAGGCCATTTATTCAACGGATGAAGCGAATAATTAGAGGAAATGCCATCAACTATGCTTTAATAATTAAACCATTCTTAAGGATTGAACTTAAAATTCCTTCAAAAACTTTCGAGTAACCATACTCTGAAATACTTCTGAAATACTTTTTTTAGTCTTACATATCTTAAGTTGAAAACGGAAACAAATGAATAATTGTTCGTTCATCAACAAATATTTTTCATTGACAAATAAGTTGACGAAGAATTGATAAATTACTCACCAATTAATGTCAGCATCATACTGCTAGTGACATAGGCGGTGAGGATTATGATCAATGAAGAGACTATAGCGAGAGGGATGCTCCTCTTTGGGTTTGTCGCCTCTTCGCCAGTGGTTGCTATTATATCGAAGCCGATGAATGCGTAAAAACACGTCGCTGCACCGGTGAACACCTGGAACAAATGAAGTTTGATAAATTAATCAGTGTTTTCTATTAATAGTTGCCTGTCCTTGAACTAGGAAATTATCCGCAAAATATTCTCTAAAAATTGTATCTTTTTGGAAAATCATAATGAGCTAGCAAATTATGTATTTAATGTTGATCTCTTTTTTACGAGTCTTTATATAATATGAATTGAGACATCCTAACGTTGAAGAATTGTTAGACTTTGAAATTTATTTTTACAACAAGTTCTGAAAAGAAAGAGAGGATAATTTTATTCTCGAGGAAAGAAAAGTTGCAACATTGAAATACAAGTTACAAGAATGAAATTGGATGCCAAAATAATAAATTAATTAGGCAATACGTAATATTTAGTTACTTCTAAGTAGCATTAAAATCCTTGAAATCGACAAAGATGATGGTAAATCGGCAAATTAGATTCCCGCCTTAATAAAAATGTTCTCTTTAGTACTCCACGGAGATGGAGTCTTTTACCACGGATGACCATTTAATTTTTCAAGGTCCCTTAACGTCGTAACGTGAATTTCTGATGTCTCGACGGCTTCAACGAGGCGAGATAAAATTGAAAACTTGATTCAATCCCATTGGAAACGGTTGACAATCTTCATTTTTAAAGGAGTTGTAAACTCAAATAACGTTACAACCAACAATATGAGATTAAATCTGTTTAAATATATATCGCTACCAACCAAACCAAACACGGAAACCTGTATTACATTGAATCAAAATTTTTAAGATTTTCTCGAATCTTCTTTTCTCAAGAATAAGGGAAGAACGAAAATAGACGAGATCATCGTTTAAATTTTAATATTAGAATTACAAACAAATCATGATATTTTACCTAAATATTTACTTACTTAAAAAAGAATTATTTATAATTTATTAAAAATTAATTAAAATTATTAAATCTTATATAGGGATGATTAATGTTAAGATAATTACGAAAGTAATTAAATATAATATAATTATCTAAATTGAAATGAATATATATTAATTTTGTTAAAAACATTCGCACAATTTTAACAACTGCAAAAGCAAAAAGTCTATAGCTCAATTTGGTTTTATAATTTTAGCGTTTAAAGCCTTTAATATTATTAGAGATTGAAAAAAAAAATTGATTAACGCGTGAATTCTATCTGACCTTAGGAGTTCGCGTGGGTTTTCCGTGGGTGGGTTCTGAAATCTTTAGTGATCTCATCCCTTCTCGTACCTAGTTTTCCACTCCTGTTCTATAGAAATTTGCTCGAAAGGTCATGGAACAGCTCTCTTATCAACTTCACGATTAATATTAATGCATGCATTAAATTACTTCTCCTCATTATTATTATTCTACCCTTAAAACGTCCTCGTGTAGGGTTACCACTCTCTCTGGGCAATTTTTTATTAATTATATTCATGGAATTTTCTCGTTGTTTCTTGTTGAGAATCGCGACTCCGTCCAGAGTAACTTGTTGAAAAGAAAATAGGGGTTCCTATTTTGAGTCAACGACCACTTCCATGAACCCGAAATAATTCCGATCCATCGTGATTTTTTTTAAAAGATGAAATTTACCCTTTCAAGAAATCATAAACCTTCGCGATTCGACTGAAAGAAGATAAAACGAATCGAATGAAAGTCGTTAGCAAATGTTGAAAATTAGTTTACTAGGATAGAAAGATATTTTAATGAACGTTTCTTTCAAAAATTTATTAAATTTTGTGCAATTAAACGTTCGAATTGAGTTAAATTTTTTTCAATATCAAAAACTGACTAACTAATAATGAAAATAATTGTTAGATTATATAATATACAATTACAATTTTGCTTTTAGCTTTTCGAATTAAATTCATTTATATCGCGATTTTTTTTTTTTAAATATTAATAAAATCCATTAAAAATTATACATTATGTTGCTCTTGCTATATTTTTCTCATTATTCTTTTTTATTTTTATCAAATAAAATTAGATTCCTATTATATTCCTATCGCGATTTAATCATAGTAATCGATTTAACTATTCTTTGTATAATCTGAAAATTTTCGCGTTTAATCAAAGTGACAAGTTTCCCGGATAAAACGAGAGGAAAAAATGACAAAGGTTAAGGAAAAATTATTGGAATGTTACGTTTGTTTCGACCCAGTTGTCCGCGTCTTTTTAACGAGTAAATGCGTTCTATACTCGGCGGTTTTGATTGTGTGGGCGGGATATGGAAACACGGGGGCGTTAGTGAACCGTGGAGGCGAAATATTACAGGATCAAACGACCATTTCAAACATTCATGAGATTTTTTTTCTTTGCCGACATGTCTTACTTCCTCGAAACTCGAATCTTGTTATTCAAATTTTTCCAGAAACATTTCTCAAAACAGGTGTACGTGTCAAACGAGAACAATGAGAGAGAGACACGTATTCATTTTTCAGAATTTTTCTGAAATAATCATATTTCAAAAATTTGCCAAAAATTGAAGATTATCAATGCAATAACAATTACTTATTTAACAAAAGAAAAATTATTTCTTTAATCAATATTTAATACGAAGTGATAATTTTATAAAAATTTCCTTTTAATCTCTTTACTATTGGTAAAATCTGTCTCTGTAACCCTCTAAAAATGCATTTCGTGATGAAACCTATCGTATGAAAAAACGTTGAAATTTCATTCCCATCGTGTTATCATTGCAATATAAAATTTTCGAAATTTTAAATAAACGAGAAACGAAACAAATCATCGAATCTCGTTTTCACGTAAACGGAGGTATTAGAGGATAGGATAATTTTTCCACGAGAATACGAATAGGAAGAAGAGTTTTTTTCGAAGAAGAGTAACGCAACTTAGAAACGTAAAGATGAAAAATTCATGTTTTTCAAGGGATACACAGTCTTCCGAAGGCACGGAAATATTCATCGCGTATCATCGATAAACACGCGATGGGGGTCGGCGAGGGGTTGAAAAGGGAAAGTATCGCGTGCGGATAAATTCCGGGACACCGACGGTGAACTTTTATATTTTAATTAATAATTCACATCGACACTTTGGACCTGCAACGATCAGGAATAAATACAACTGGAACATGTTGTTGAGCAAAGGAATGGGAATCTCTATTTTCTCGAGAAACGAAGACGAGGCTAGTAGTCCTAAAAATAATAAAATTAAGAGTGTTGCTCTCGTCGATTTTCTTTTGTTTATTCTTTCTCTCGGAGAAGATCCAAGATGAATATTCCAATATTTGTCAATTGTCCCTCCGTTTGAACAAATGTTTGCAGCCCTTCGTTCCAAAGAAACTGCACTGAATATCCATGGAATATTTAATATTCCCGAATATTTTTACTCCAAGTTTGCATATCCAATGTTGTTTCCTCCGCAAATATTACCATTATTTCTCATTATTTTATCTCATCATCATCGTAGAATAATATGATCCAAAAAATTTTTATATTTTTTGAATAGCCATTTTTCTTGCATTTTCGAGTGAATTTTTTTTTTTTACAATGTTTACGGAGGAATTACATTTATACGAATGTTAAAAGAATTATAACAGAATAGTAAGTGGATGATTTAAAAAAAGAAGGGATAAGAAAAAAGTTACGTCCAATTTAAATTTAATACAGCTATGTAATTGAAACGAATGATCGAAATTTTAATCTAAATAATCGCGCGCATAATATTTAATTTCCTCCAAAAGGAGGAGGACCGTTCTGTAAATATAATATTTTCCCCCTATACCTTATTCATTATTTCAAGAAAAAGCAAACATAACCCAGGCAAGAGATACAATCTCGTTCAACTATTTGAACATCTCGCGTGGAAACAAAAGAGAAAACCTCGATGGAAGGGTTGAAAAAAACTCTGCAAGCACGTCTTTGCAAGGGAGCCGATCCATTTCCGGCGGCATTTCGCTTGCGGTTCCGGGAACAATGGCAAACTTGTTGCGCCCAGCAAGGTTTCAACGGCAAAACCAAGAAGTGCATCAGGTGGACAACAGAGAAAAGGAATTTACATTCGTCGAAAAGTGGTGTGAATCGAATTTGGATTATCACAGTTTTTTTTTTTTTTATTATTATTCAAAAAGACTCACGATCATCTTGCTTGTCACGCGAAATATGCATAAAAACCACCAACTTTCTCATTTTTTTCCCATTACGTAGTGATATTAATTGATAAATAAATTAAATAATTGTAAACATACAATAGTGTTGTGCACCAACGGTTCTCAATCTCCAGATAATCTGCGTATTGTTAAAATTTAAATATTCCAGCATCAAGATCTATCTTGTAGAAGTTCATTCTTTTTTTTTTTTTTTAATCGAAGGAAGGAAATTCTCAGCGAAAGATTAAAATTCACCAGTCGATTAAAAAAAAAATATCAGGAGAAGAAGACTGATTCTTTTACCTTGTAATTATTCGTAATTCGATATAATAAAATCTTTGTTAAAATTTAAAAATGAATATGAGAGAGGCGCGATTTCAATTGTTGAGAACCACTCTTGTATCACAGCCATATTTCTCAATTCGCAACGAGACACAAGAGACATCGAATTATATTCAAAGTATACTTACACCACTCCAGTCGTAAGGAAAGAAGCCCCCATGCTCGTTCCAATTATCAATATCCACGTAGTACATTCCCGCCGTCATGACGAACACCCAAATGGCGAGATTGATAGCGTTTAACACGTTATTGAACACCAGGGATTTCTTCACGCCCGCGGCCATTAGCAGCATCATCAGTATAGTAATGACGAACGCGAGGAAATCGGGCGGTCGACCTTTATCACAATTATTTCATTAATCGTCACTATTTATTTTTTTAAAGATAAATTGTCTTTACAATTGATACGTATACCAGTATTTCTTAATCTTATTAAATATTTGTTTGTAACGGGTATTTTATCACACTTTATATTATATAAATTAATAAAAATTTCTAATTTTTTTGATTTATATCAGCATTTATTAGCATTATATCAGCATTTCGAGGAATTTTTGGCATATCTATCGTTCAAAATTGACCGTAACATCATGATCTACAATTTGAGAAACACTGGTATCTGTAAAAGTGAAAATAATTATTACTAAAATGGAAGTCGATGTAAGCGAAGATAGAATCTTGTTTTTTTTCTATCCTTTAAATATTTTTATCGGGATATCATTGAGCAATTGAAAGATGCCATCTTAATTAACGAAATCCAATTTTTCACTATCGACTAACGAGATCCCTTGATTTTGTCAGGGGTGTCGAATTTATGCTTTCCAGTTCGTTTCTTTCTCGCTACCATTTTCAAGTATATTTCGAAATATCATCTATTCATTCTTAAACCAGTATAATTAGAATTTCATTTATACAAAGATTTATTTATGATTTTTTATTTGTAAAAGGAAAGGATTATAAATTTTAAATAAATCCTTTGGTGATAAATAGAAATCACGGATTCTTTGGTTTAAAACAAAATTAATTTGGAACTTCAAAATTACGATGATATTATAAAGAACAATTAAATATTTAAAAATTTCTTTCTTTAAGAATCTCCAGAATGAGATGTTACCTTAAAAAAGAAGTTAAGAAAAACTTCGTATATCTCTTCCTTTAATAAGACACTTTAATTAAAGAGATAATAAATCTAATAATAAATCTTAGATCATCGTGAATTATTTCCATTCAAAATATATCGTATGAACAATTTTGATTAAGTCTCGCCTCAACGAGTTAGAGTTAGCTAGTTTAACCTTTATTAATACGCGAAAACATAAAGGGTAATAATAATAAAAGTACAATGTTCCACAGAATCAAGATACGATATTACACGTTAATGATGAATACGCGTCGGTGAGACCTCAATTTCCGGCGTGGCGGCGTTAATACGAAATTATTCCTTTACGTATTCCTCGGCCAACGATTTCTCCTCGGAAATCAATTTCTGCGTTTCAACGGTTCTAATTTTTTCATTCCCTACGGCGATTAACAATTTTTTCCCCGATGACTGAGTTTTATTTTATTCATATACCACCATCTTCTCTCGTGTTAGTTGTGCATCCGAATAAGCAAAGTTTATAGCGTCCCATTTCGCGTTCGTAGACATTCATTTCGATTCTATTTTTTTTTCTCCCCTATTTTTTCCATGTTTTCATTCTTCTTCTTTTTTTTTTTTTTGTTCTCCAAGCGATTGAAATGTTGCGACGGTGTATGAAAGAATGTGGTGTACTCATTTCGGTAGAATCGAACTGGAAAAGAATTTTTCTTTCCTTTGTTTTTTCTTTGTTCTTCTTTTTTCGAATACGATGGGCTTTTTGTACATATCGAAGAATGAATTATTTTTCGAAACAAATTGATTCGTTCATTCAATTTGATTTGTATCTGTCGTAATTAATTATAATTTATAATCAAAATTAATTTTTGAGGCAAAAGAAAAAAAAATTGGTTAAATATAAAAACTTAAATTTTCGAGACTGTTATTAAATTCCATTACTAGAAAGATTAATGTAATTTAATTTAAATAGAAATTTACGGTTATTGTGATATCGTTGTTTGAAATTGATTAAAACTCTTTTACATATAAGATTTTTCTAAATTAAATTTAAAATAGAAATTCGGAACGATACTTAGTCTCTCATTCGTATCAGTGGTTCCCAATCTATGGATCACGAATTATTATTCTTTAAACGTTCTTATTCATCTTTAATTAACTTCAATCACATTTATTTATCTCTACATCGTCATATTCTACCGAAATATTAAAATTATCTTTCCCTTATTTAAACTTTATTCAAGATAATTTTTTAAATTCTTCTCGACGTATGTGAAAAATGAGGAGATGCTTCGAGCTACTTGAATATCGCGAAGAAGATTTTTAGATGGATTTTAATTAATGGAATTTAAATTTAAAACTTACAACTATCCAAATTACAGTGGATGGACATCGAAAATAATGTTTTAAGAGATACAAATTTTGATAGCCAAGCCTCAACATGACATTTAACAATTTTTAGTTATTAACATTTTATGAGAAAATCGGCGGCAAGTTGAGGTACTTGAAATATCAGAAAAAGGGATCACTTGACTCGAGAAAGGTTAGAAAACATTGGCTGGTGTTATTCCACCCTTGTCCATCATTCTTTCTAAAACGCGTTCTCACAAGTATATTAAGTTGAGACAGCTTTTTACAAGTTGAGTACGAGAATCACGAATCACCCTGTGTATACTTGGTTGGGAAACGAAGGGGAAAATGTTATGAAGGGGGTCGAGGGAAGAAGGGATTCTGGCGGATAACAAAAGAGGGTGCGAGAGGAGCGCTTGCGCGGATCAAGTCTAGCACCTGTGGACCTCATCGATCCAAAACGAAACCGAGCATTTCGATGCCCTTTAACCTGCTCACCTGAACCCCATTTCCTCTATTCTTACTCTCTTCCTATGCCATATTATTCGTTTTTCGTCGTTTTATCCCAAACCGACCCTTTGATCCCTCCCAACTTCTTCTTCACGTTTCGCATACTTGATCTTAAACTCGATTATACCTTTTTCAATATTCTTTTTGCGATTTTAAATATAATGATGTTAGATTAGGCTTACTGAGAATATTGTATGATGTTTGAATTAAATTATCTTACTATATATATAGGTTGGATTCAGGAATTTTGATTTCGCGGAAATTATTTCGTTTGTAATTTTTCTTCCGGGTTAATAAATTTTATTTTTTTAACACTGTTATATGTAGGGAACAATTTGTTTAATATTTCATAAAAAATTCTATTAACAATGCTTAAGAAAATAAAAGTATATTATAACATTTCACTAAAATATTTTTGTTTTGTAGATTAAGAAGAAAATAGAAATTTTTAGTGTATTATTTTGATATATTTATTTGAAATTTTAAATTGGATTAAAACATAAAACTAATTCATACTTGATCTTAAAAACGTTTTCCTTCTTATGCAATAAATTCAAGAGGAGAAAAGATTAAAATTCTAGACAATGATCTCATAAAACTAAACTTATAGAAATACTCTAAGATGGCGGATACTGTAAGAAAGAGGAAATAAGTTGTCACTTCTCCTTTTGTTTCCCGATTGGTCTCTTGAGTAAAACTCAACTGCAAAGTGCATAGGAAGCAAAATGTGCGTAGAGTATTCGAATAATGGCACACTTCACTGGAAAGAATGAAGAGAGATTAGAAAACCCAGCTGAGTCGTTAACATTTATTGCAACGAATGGAATGACAAAGATAATGATGTTAACGAAAAATTTTCAAGGATCATGGAGTAGAAAAACTTTCACTTCACGAATGGGAAAGATACGTAAAAATTTTGTGTTTTCATATTTTTTATTCCATTTTTCCTTGCTTTGGTTAAAATGATTTTTTTTATTTTCAGAATTCAATATATATTTAATAATATTTGAGGAGAAAAAAATCGTAGAAAAATAAAATGATCATATTATTTTGGACAAACGTAAAATCTAAAAATACGGTAGGTAATTCTATCTAATTGATAAAAGATATTTTTAAGATGTTGTTTAGATGTTTAGATCAGGGAAAAAAGTTTTGAGAAGAAATTGTGAAAAAGTTATATATAAATAAATAAACTTAAGATAAAATTTGAAATATTTAGAAACAAAAAAAGAATAAGATAAGTGTAGAAAAGAGAAAAAGTTTGAAACAAAATCTTATTTATAAATATATTTTTAAATATTTTTTATTCTTATATTTTTAGATATTAAAACAATTATAAGGAATTTTTTCAATCATAAAAAAAAAGTGAAATTTCAATATTTATGTAGTACTTAAATTATTTAAATCATTGATGTCAAGAATAATTTTATTTTATTATAGATATTTTATGAATAACGATGAACAGAAATAAAATGAAACTATTTTTCATGGTTTATTTAAATTAGATTTAATTAGTTTCTATAGATTAATTATAGATTAATTCTGTATAAACTTCAATTTTCTGTCATTACAGTTAAACTAACCTAACTTTTCATCGAGTTTCCTAATGCTCTTGTGATTTGACTAATAAAATTATTTTAACATTTTAACATAAAATTCGATTAAAAATTTGCAACGTTATAAAAAATTTTGCTAAGACTTGTACGTCTTCGATAATGAAAGCGACCTTTAACGATTAAAATGCAGCAAAGCGTGCCCTATCTGCAAATCATATGTTCTCATAACTCGTTAAGCTTTTTTGCATTGAAACGATGCAGGATGGAACGCAAAGAAGAATTTTAATGTTTGCTATCTGTTCTCGAGAATTAAAACTTTAATAATCATGGATGATATTTAAGAAACAGCATTACTCTTTTGATTATTTTTGTCCATGAAATTATTTCACTATTATATTTGTTAAAAAAAATGTAATTTAAAAAATATAAAAGAAGTATTTAATTTTTTTTTTTTTACTTCAACATTGCAAGTAATATGATATATAATAGGTAATTGTTCGCAGAACAAATAAATAAATTAATAGAATCAATTGAGAAAAGTTATTTTATCGGATTATTCTTCAAGAAAACTCGTGGTCGAAGAAACAATGAAAATTGTATGATTGATCGACATTGAAAATCGACTATCAGTAATGAAAAAAAGTATTAAAGCAACGATATAAAAACGAAAATTAAATACCGGATGAAAGATAAATACAATGAAGATACAAAACATAAAATAAATAAATTAATCGAAGAAAATGGAAGTATATTTATGTATAAATATTTTGATCATTTCCACTATCTATACTACTATAAATAAATATTTAATAGAATATTTAATAAATTTTAACAATTTTACGAATATTTTTTTGTCAATTTGTTGTTTCTTTTTATTTTCTTTTATTTTCTTTTTTAACAAAATATGGTTTATAAAAATTGATTTCCTATCATTAAAATTTTTTTCATAGTATTTAAATTTTTTATTTTGATTTTTTCTTTCTTTTTTTTTTTAATTTCTTTTTTCTTAAAATTCTTTTGTCATCTCGCAAATAGAATAATCCGTTGTCCACATATTCAAGTAGAATGATCCTTGCATACACCGTGAATAGAATGTTCCACTTTCATGCCTTGACAGTGGAATCATCGCGTGCATGATCAGACGTTAAGAACTTCAACTCACCAGCAGTGCAGAGATCGAATATCCGATTGTCCGGTTTATCTCGGTTACTTAATCAGCTCGTAAAATAAATCTCGTGTTTATACGGCGTAATAATCGGATACAATTGAATAATCATCAAAACTGAACTGAACAATACGAGTCAACGATTCATTGGCCCGTGATGGAGAGAAAATCTTTTTTATCAACTGATAATATTAATAAATTGGCAAGTAACGGATTGCACAATAACGTACATTTCAATATTATCTTAATATTTAAATAACTTGTAATTGTGTTCCCTTTCCTAAGATACAAAATTTTAAAAATTAACACATTTTTTATCGCCATGGAATGATGATCAGTAATTAAGAAGCGAAAGCATTGAGTTAAATATTAAAATTTCATTAATTAAAAATGATTCTTTTGTGATCACAATTTTTTGGAAACCATTGATATAGAATCTAATCTAACTTGCAAATCTCGAAAGAATTAAAAGAGTTACAAAGTGATTTTTGGGGATGGTAATAATTATTCTCCTGATGGCAATATAATTATATCGAAATAATTAATAAACATTGTTAATAAATTAAAAATCATTAATTATGGGAATAACTCCTAATATTTCGCGATCTGTAGGTTAGAAAACAATGGAATCGATAGATGGCGTAATCAAAGCGTAACGAAAATGGCTTACCAAAAATGGTTCCCACGCTGTTTGCTATCGCCCCGGAAACGGCACCGTCCGTAAGGGCGTCCAAGCAGGCGCTAAGGGCGCAGGCACACGCGCTCGTACCTATAAGGTACTCCAATATCATGTTCCATCCTATAATGAATGCTATTAATTCGCCTACAGTCACGTAACTATACATGTAAGCGCTGCCAGTCGTGTGAGGCACTCGTACTCCAAACTCGGCGTAACATGCTCCTATAACACCAACGCGAAACGCCAATTTTCAGAAATTAAAGTTGATACGCGAAATAAGTCGTAATGAAGAAACGAAGTAAAAGAATGTAAGCTCGATTTAATAAATTTATCTTGAGAGGTAAAAATTGATTTTTATGATCCATCTGATGCCTATCTACTTTATCCAATAAGAATGTATAGCTGCGATAAAAATAATCGATACAAGGAGAATTTATCAGCAAGATTAATTGGAACGGAGAAATATATTCGATCGGAATCAAATTCCAGAGAATTTGATCAATGTCCTGACGATCTCGTGAAAGATTTGAAGAAAGCATATGTTGGAAAACGTAGTTTGGGGAAACGTAAAAATTTCATTTGAATAGAAATAAGTGTTTGAATAATTTTTTCAAAAAAATCGACACGAATGATGTGTGAATGAAGGACAAGAAAGAAAGAGGGTGAGGAAGGGTGAGAGTAACATCAACTGGAATAATGAGGCAGCGGTGGCGATTAATGAAATGACGTGATAAATTAGCAATCAGCCCCAACCTACATCCGTTATCGACATTTTAATCCGTTCGTTGATTCGTCTCGACAATTGGCCACGTTCTGATATAACTGATTAAAGCTTCACACAGTTTAGAGAGATTGTTAATTGGCATCAAACACACAGTCAGAAAAGATTTAAATTAATTAGCTTGGCTACATTGATTTTCCTTTTTCCTTTTTTTCTTTTTATCCCCCCTCCTTTTTTTTCTGCTTATATATTTTATTGGCCATGGCACATGTTACGCTGGAATAAATGACCAATTTGAATTTTATCATCGATAATCTGACGATGCATCGATGATGAATATATTTTGAAACACGTTAATTAATTACTCTTGTGTTTATTTACTTGTATATTTATGAGAAGGATATTTGGCATCAATATCAAGTTTTCAAGTTTTTTTTTTTCTCGTAATTTTAATATTGAAAATGTTATAATATTGTTAAATATATTATTCAAATATTGAATATAGAAATTTATGATTGTGGGAAAAATTTCATCGTAAATTATAACAAGATGATAAATAACGATACTTAATCTATCATAGTATCTTTACTTTTTTTACCAACATTGTTCTTGGATTTTCATTTCTTCCATTTTCATCTTTTCAATGTTTCTAAATATTCAAAGATTCTGGAAAAATTTAGAATTATTTATCAAAATTTTCCTTCTTTATTTAGTTGATACACAATTGGAACATCCTATACATTCATTTTTTGCTGACCCTAATGTATATAATAACAATTTCAACGAATTTATTCGAGCAAGCATCTCAATAGCACGGTACAAAAGAAAACTTCACATCTCCTTGTAATTTTCATAATCTCACAGATATTCCAGTTCTTTAATTTCTTCGATCCAATGGCCATCTAAAGTCTCTTTTTGCCCTTGCTTTGCATCGTGAAAAAGAAATATCGTATGACAAAGAAACACGACGCAAAGATCATGGTTCATCTATCTTTATAAAAATGTGAATTTGATTTCTAATAGCAAGATCATACTCTATTTCGAATGTATATGTAGAATAATCTAAGCACTTGAATGCATGAAAAAAAAAAAAGTATGGAATAGAATTATCATCAATACTGGATTTGTATCTATTTTAACTCATTCAAATGCAATATAATTCTTATTTGTTTAAATTTCATGATTAAAATTTTATTTATTCGAATTATAATAGAAATTATGGTACCTAAATTCCAGTTACAGTTACTAAAATTCTATTTATCTAAACTTACTTTAAAGTATATTTATCCAAAGTATCCTTCCATGAGTTTAGCTAAAATGGAATTCTATTGTATGCTTCGTTGATGACTTGACCAAATGTGTCCTAGGAATATCAGCATAATTATACCTAGATAGAATAAAAGAGAACTAAAATATACCAATAAACGTATTGATTCTTAATAAATTATCAAAATCTTTTCAGAAAAATTTCAAACAACTTCGATAATATTCGATCGAAGTTGACAAAAAAAAAAAAATAATAATAATAATAATAATAATAGTAATAAAATTTTCAGGTATATGTATCGAAATAGAATATTCGAATCGAGAATGATCGTATAGAAAATCGAAAATCGAGCGCATGGGGTCACTATGTAAATATTCAGGGAAAGCTACGGGGTCTACGCGTCTCGGGACACGGAAGTATGGGTGACAGTGCAGCCCGTAAATCTGATCCAACGTTATTTTCCACTCGCCACATCGAACCACGACGCGTACACTTTCCTATGTGTGTCACCGGGCGAAAATGTATTGGAAGGACGTGCATGGTGATCATGATCCGTACTCGTGACCAGTAGACTGATACGGGAAAATAGGAAAATGCGCATCTCGAATGCAGGAAAGGACGCCGTGAGAAATTTGATGCTGCTACAAGTGAAATGAGGAAAAGTGGAAAGTATAATTATGTGTTCCACATAATATTGAGTAGGAATTTTCGGAAACATTTAGTTGAAACATTTTAAAAATAAATTTTACGAGATAGAACACTAAATGGTTTGTTAAAATGGTAATTGACAAACTGGAATAAATATAAAAGTTATATTAAAATTAATTTATTATATATTATTATAATTTATCTGAGCATTCTGTTTTACTTTTAAATCGCGTTGGATTTTTCTTTTTCTATTCTTTATACCAAAAGTGAAAACTTAATTTTTCGATTAATTTAACGATATATTATTTATTTATAAATATATTACTCGATAAAACCTAGAGGTCAGATCAAGAAAGGTGAATATATGAAACTATATTCGTCCAGACGTTCTATAAGTAGAATCAGATTATATATGTTCAGGTATAGACAGGTTTCATAAAATCTGATACACTGACACAATTCCTAGGGAGAATGTCTATAACCACCAACTGGAATAAAATTATTTTACGTACATATTCAACTTCTAAAAAGTACATACATACTTCATGTATGGATAAAATTCTGCATAAAACGATGAATCACCATTTTGTTAACTTTATATACATTATAATGAAATTGTCATTGACAGCAACGTTTTCTTTTTTTTTTTTTTTTTTTTTTCCTTTTCACTTACCGGAAAAAATGGAAGCAATAGCCGCAATTATGAACGAGATGACGACACCTGGGCCGGCGACGCTGCGCGCCACCATCCCCGCGACTAGGTACATTCCTGTCCCAACGCAGGAGCCAACCCCCAAGGATGTCAAGTCCAGAGTCGTCAGGCACTTCTATAAAACAAAAAACGAATTCATTCAAACTTTTATCATCAATCTATAATCATTATTACTTTCGCATTCCGCAATTTAATAGAAGAATGATATTATAGATGATTTTCTAAAAGGAAGGAAAAAGTAAATTTTATATATATTATTAATATTCATATTATTGATACACAAAGAAAAAAAGAAAATTAAAATGAGAATATATTGGAAGTTTGTAGTTTGTAAACAAAAGTTTATGGTCAATAGGAAAAATAAATCTCGTCTGCTCATCCGCGGCCTAGTTCCCGATAAAGTATAAAGTTATTCAAATATTCTGTGTTTCATATCGAAACGTCTTGTTGAAGCACGAATTCTTCCATAAAATTTCCACTAAACTTCCGAGAAACAATAAATAGCTGCTTAGGGAAGATGTTTCGAAGTTAACTTTCTCAATAAATGAGTGATCAACATTGGTTGAAAACTTTGCCCGCCTATTCTACTTTTTAGAGAGAAAAAAATTTGTGGGAAAACTGCAACGGAATCAAACGGAAAATGCTTTGAATCTGTACATTATGAAGGAAAGAAATAGGAAAAAAAAAAAAAAGAACAATTTGGATATATTCCGAATTATTACATGGAGAATAAAAAATGTCATATCAATTTTTTTATATTATTATATGTGTAGAAAAAAAAATTACGAAAAGTTATTTGTTTCGTTACATCGCGAAAATTTTTCTGAATGATCCTCTGTTAAACTGTTAAATTAACTCAAAAGTAAAATTCGTATGAAGAGCAAGAGTTATTCAAATATTAAAAAAAACGAATCAAAATTCTAAGAAAAAAAGTTGAAAATCTGATCTATGGAAAAGAAATTTGTAAAAAATTTTTAAAAGTAAATTAAAAATCGATGTTGACTGTTAAAATTCATCGATATTTTGTTTCCAAATGAAAAACGAGTATATTATCTTGTCTATTTTTATTTTCAAATTAAAAAGAATAAAGTGTAAGAGGGAAAGTGTTTCATTTCGCAAAAAAGAAATTAGGTCCCTATTGCATGCGATGATTGATGGGCCAGAACAAGGGAATCTGAAAGAACGTAGGAGTTGAAGGCAAAGTGTTTGTAAAATCTTGTTAAAAATAGACGGAGATCGATACGCGCAGGTGGATACCATATACACATGGGACGCTTCTTTTCCTTAAAGATTTAGAATCTTAATATCATTCTTGGTATCGTAAAAAGAAATTGCTCTGATGCAAACACTAGAAGACGATTTAAATTTGCTCGTGAGTCTGTTGTATCGACTTGTTTATTATCGAAACGTTTCATTCATGCAAAAACGGTATTTATAATGTTTACAGACATAAATAAAGTTTTTCAGGTAGCAGGAAATTGTATCGAATCGCAAAAATGAAAATATTTATGAGAAATTGTAAATTTTTTGTACACAGATTAAATCATTCGAATTAGGTATGAAAAGAATTTTATGGAACAAAATTTTAGGATAAATTAATTGATCCATTATTTTTTAATTTTTATTTTTATTTTTTCTTAAATTTTTAACAATGCAAATTTAAAAAAAAAATTAAAATTTATTCTTGTATTTTGTTTCTATTATCCAATTATGTTTCTTTCAGTCGTTTGAGATCACAAATGTGGATCGAAAAAAAATAATGAATTGTTAAAATAAAAAGATTCACCTGTAATTTCTGCTTGGAATCGGTCGAATGCAGTGGCTCAGGTCCAGTTTTTTCCTGATCACCCTGAAGACTCTCCACATTTTTCGTTCGTATAAATTTCCCAAAGAGCTCCAGACCTTTCTCCCGATCCATCAATTCGAGCTTCATTGTTCCTGAAAGCAGATAACATCAAATGGCATTGCCATCTAAAAATAAACTTGAAATAAGAATAATTTTCATCTTCAAAGTAATCTCTTTTTCAAGAAATCTTTCAAAAAATTCTTTCGAAATAATCCCTTAGATAGATTAATTTTAATTCAATCTCTAGTTAGTTTCGCAGAAATTTAGCTTATTTTCATAGTGACTAGTGCTCTTTCGTCTTTCGTCATAACGTTTTGATGATATCTTTTTTCCGAGACTTTCTAATCTTTATCTGATCGATACATACTTGTACATCGATGTTTTTTCTCTATTTTCTGTTTTAAATTACAAAATCAGATTTATAGTAAAAATAGGAAAAAGAAAAGAAAAAAAAAAAAAGAGAAAGAAAGAATTGGGGAAAAATTTCTAGAATCAGATAATTTGACGAATGAAAATTAAGTGAAAATTGAAATTCGATATGGAAATTCACAAGTGGATGGCTTTTTGAAAGTTTGGGAAGACACGTATTTAAATTATCGATTTATTATTCAGTGACATTTGGCAGATTACTTGCACAGCTTGTATTCTTTGTCTTTTTGAGCAATTTTCAAGAGGAAAGAACGGGATTAAAAAAGAAAATTACATTTCGCCATCTTTCATTATTGTTAATCACTAGAATCATTTTAATGAATCAATAATAATTTCTAGTAAGAATTTTGTTTACAAAATTTCTTTTCATAAAATATTTTACTTGATTTTTTTAACAAAAGGAATATTATTTTCTTTCTAAAATAATAAAAAAAATTAGTTGAAAAAATGGCAAAAAATTTCGTGATATCTTGAAGAAATAATAATTAAAGATTCAAAAGTCCGAAGTACAATGAATTTGAAAAAAAAAAAAAAATGTCAATGAATTGAAAATATGTTGAAAGATATTGATATAATCCTAAAAGAGGAGAATGGATTCAGAAAAGAAAAAAAGGATATGTATAAGGATGTCAACAGGAAGAATAATCGTTCAAAAAAAAGCGATGCATTTTAATAAAAGGTACTTGCAGATAAATTATTCAAATCACGCTTCAAAAATAACACCAACATCTATGAAACTGCCGCTTGAGTTTCATTGTACTAATGGAATTCCTGATGACCGATAACTCAAAGAACTATATTGCTACACCCAAATCTGATTCATTTCGTATCATTTTAAACTTTGCGACTTTCTTCGTTTCCAGAATTATTTTAATTTATTTATTCGAAATAAATTATAATTGAATTGTTAAATTATGATCCAACTTAACTTAAAACCCAATAATTATCAGAGAAAATATCGAGTAGTTGATTTATAATGATTATTCTTAATTTTTGAAAAATTCTCTTCTCTTCAAAAAAAAATGAAGACTTGAGAATTTCCATTGAAATTTTTGGAAGTCCTCGAGTAAGTTGAAATAAAATTGAAATTAGAAAATTTCAATTTTGATAAAAAGATTTCGACCACGTAAAAAATAATTTAGGTTAAATGTCAGATTGACATAAATTATACCAGATTGAGGTTTAACTTTACATTTGATTGAATTAAATTTGAATTAGGTTAAGGTCAAGTTTAGATTGAGTTTCAATGTGACAATGAGTCACAGTCTCCAATAGTTATATTAGTAATTGCGAGTAGTAGTACAGATGCATATTCAATCCCTTATCGAAGGAACCATTGGATCAAAGGCTGAAAATTATTTTAATGCTGATTCTATGAATATATTATAATGCTACAAATTCCTAATTGTACTTTATTTCCTTCTGAAAGGTACAAAAAATATATAAAGATATAACACGAAAAGAATGTGTTATAAATATTTATCGCACAAAATATTAAGTAAAGAATAAAATTACGAAATTTAATCTAAATAAATATAGCGACTTTTAACAATATTAGTTATGAATTAATACATTTTAAAATTGTGGCAAAATATATATTGCACAGGTTGACGTCATAAAAATACCTAACCTAAATAGTTAAACAATAAAGATGGCGGCTACGATTAACAAGTGTTCATTATAGATCGAAATTTTAGAAGTAAATAGACAATGGAAAAAAAAGAGAAACCACGTCAGTGTACAATAAACAATCCTTCTAAAAGACATGCAGGATTTAGATTGCATATTCAGGAAAAGAAATATGTCACTATCGTTCTCTAATCTTTGTTTGATTATTAGCTGAAATTACGTTAATGAACATTTTAGAAGTCATAACAAACATTTCCTACTTTATCATTTAAATATAGAGATAAAAATCAAATTTTTTTTAAAAGAAAAATTGAAAAAAGACTTGAAATACTTGTCAAAGTTTGACTGGAAACCTACATGTTTACTATTGCGGAAAATAGCTTGCTTTATAGCAAGTCAGTTTTGAAATTCATTATCAAGTAATCAGAAAATCACGACTCATATCCGAATTGGTTAAAAGCCCGCGATAATTTTTTGCACACTCGCGTGCATACTAAAACGTTACCTGTGATATTACGAAACTTTCGTTCACTATTTTATCATGGCGTCATCTGCTCAATTGATATGCTCGTTCTGTTCGCATGCATGGAAACTTGCCAAAAATGAGACAAAATAATATTGGAAAAAAAGAAATAAGTATTTGATATTTTAAAAAAAAAATTAAAGTTAAAAAGTTGAAATTAAGACTATTCATTCGGAAATTGGAAAATTTTAAAGAGTTGTTTTCGAAATTATAAAATCTTTCCTTGAAAATACTCCTTAATGTCATGCAAATTTTATCTCCAATACACTATTGTCAATTTTTTCCGGCTTTGAAATCGAGAATTTCACTATTGTTTCAAATATGTACAGTTCCATAAAATTTTTTGAAAGTTGAACGATTTAAATTCAACTTCAAAAAATCGAATAAATTTAAAATAATTTTAAAATACTCATTATGACAATAAATTTCGAATTTATCATTAGAATGATTTTTCTCGCATTCTTATCGAATTTCTTCGAATATTAGAGAATATAACATTGCACATTGAAAAGTTTTAACGAACTTACATAGAAAAAATGAAAATATTATGATCGATAAAGTCTTCCATTAACCAAATCCTCTAAATAAATAAAATAAATCTAATTTAATTTATATTCTCAAAAAAAGAGTTCATTATTTAATAAGAATCTGGCTTAATTATATAAAGTATAAAAATAAAAAATTGTTTTAATTATTTTTTGATTTACATTAAAATTTGCTTGAATACTCTAATATATAAAAAAAATTAATATAAATGATGAAAATCAATGAAAAATTAATTTCATAAAAAATAGAAAAGTTAATTGGAAATCTAGCATAAAGTTAAGTTTCTTAAATTTATAATGATTCGAATAAAATTTGTTCGAATGCAAATATAATTTTAAAAAGTAAGGAAACAAGAATCTAATAACGGATTCATATAATGTGGAAATTTATGAAGCGCAAAAATTTGTTTATTTATAGTTAATGGTGCATCCACAATAAACTGATAATTAAGACTGTTGATTATTAAAATGCTTCCTGCATGAAGAAGTACAATATAATTTATGTAACTTAAACATAGGCAAAATCTTATCAAATTTTTCATTTCAAAGAAATATAAACATATTGTTCAAGGAACTGAAAGATTTTTTAATAGATATTAAAAATAAATTTAAAAATTTTCTCAAAGAACGTGGCTTATAATAAAAATTAACAAAGATGTAAATATAATCGATGAAAAATTTCCAAAAGTTTTTATATTAATTCCTAACAAAGATCCAAGTACTTCCATACGAGAACAAGGTGTTCCCCAAGGAAAACTTTGTACGAAGTTTCCGGAAAATTGCATCTCCTACTTTTTTCTACTCCTTTTTAATTCATAACTAAAAAAATGTTGCAATAATTTATCAAAAATAACTATGTCCAACTACTTTTTTCCAATTTCAATTTCAGTGCAACAAGAAGAGTTTAAATTACCATAACTTACACGCTTCATTAAATTTGTCTCTATTTTTCAAAGCATAAAAATAAACACGAACATAAATATTTATGTATGATCTGATATAGGAATGAGTCTCAATCAAATTGAGAGAATCTGTTATCTTTTATTTTTTTTTTTTTTTAATTATATCCTCTTAATAACATGTTCTCGATTTTATTTTATTATAATTTTTTATAAGAACAAAAATCTGAGGATTTCGTGAAACTCTTATAAACTCCAGTACATTTAACAGCTCGTGAATAAAATTCTTTAGAAAATCTAAATCAATCCAAAGGAATGCTAATAATACCATACGGTATTTCTTTAAGAAATTGAGCGGTGTAATGGCACTAATGCCAGCCAATGGTGTAAAAAAGTTCCTCAGGGATAATTAACCGAGCAACACAGAAAAACGTGAAAATTTTTTTTAAAGAAAGTAAGTACTCAGTTATCGGTTGACCAATCCTGGTTTCAAGCACAACCGGGACAAAAGAAATTCGGTATTCGGATTTTTTCTTGTAGCACCCATAAACCAGAATAATAGTGATTGTTGTTCCACTTCAGTTTCTTCCCTTTGTATATTCAAATAAATCGTAGCTCTTTCCTAAAGGCAAATTTATGAAAAAGTCCTTAAGGGAATCCACAAAAAACTAGAAAAAAATTAGTTCTAAAAATAATTAGAAATAAATAACTTTGTTTTGATAACATCCTTCTATTTATTCTATTATAAGTTTTTCTCTAATAGATAAAAGTTAATTATTATTAAAATTAAATTCATAATCAAATAGATCAGTCTGTGATATAATTGTATATTTTCTTGCTAACTATGAATGGAATTTTATTCAATATTTATAATTTTCAATTCACAATATATATTTTCAAAATTCACAATATTTAGTATGCATATAAATAATATATAATCATATTTTGTTCATAATCATATGAATTTTCAAACAGATTTCTAACTCCAACATTTATATTAATTATTAATTATGCCAATGTATATATCATAAGAGGCTTAGTGAAAGAGCATTACAAGTTTAT